CGCTATATTTCGACAATGTACTAGTGTGGTGGGGTTCATAGAGGTGTGGAATGGAATAGTAGTGTAGGCTTGTTAATATTGCTTTAGGAGAAAGAAAGAGAGGATTCTTCTTCTGTTGTCGAGAACTTCTTGAGTTTTAAATGCGCGTGTGAGGGTCTGAAGTGAGTGGGTGTATGCTCGGTATTTGTGTGCGAGCATAAGCTAGCTGGCTGGATCGATTTGATTGATTACTTGATTGACTGATTGGTTGCCTGATAGGATCCTTTTACAATGAAGACTGGAGTAGGGGACTTGTCATCATGGTGTCCCATTGATGGCGGTAGGCTGGGGGGTATTTCTGGAAAAAAGTATCTCGTGTGGCGCGATGTGAAATCATGCTATATCATGCTTTGGCACCTCAAAAAAATTCCACATACATACCCCATGTATTCTCCCTAATCGTCTCAGCTCTCTCCCTTCTCTCAGCGCACCACCATGATCCCATTCTCCTTACACGTCTATCAATCTATAAAAAAAATCCCTCCCCAAGATGGATGTGATTCCTATCTTCTGTTGCCCTAGGAAAAATATGATCTGGAGTCGTGTGCCGACAGCCTTGCAAAGCAAGTAAAGAGAGAGAGGGAGGGAGAATAGGGAAGAGGACTGTATCGGTATAGTAGAGGTGGTGTGTCTCCCTGGGATTTCCTTTTGGTTCAGGTTCGCGATGGAGTAGAGAGACGTGTATGGTATGCGTCTTGGTGAATCAAATCCCACGGGAAGCTATGCTATGGCGTGGGTAAATCAAACGTTCCACTACCGGTAATGAACATGTCTAAGCACTTTCCGTTTGTCTGCCCAACACAAAGAGTACGCACCCTTGCAACCGGGAATTTTACATGGCGAGAAACACATGTCCCATGTCTCTGCTGCTTTAACGCTGCAGTGGTTAGTCCGGTCAGCGTCCAGCGTCCAGCCTGTTTAGTATACAAACATAGCTTTACACACCGTCCTTCCTATTCTCTTCAAAAAAGCGTTTCATCACTCTTATTCCCACGCGCCCATGTGCGCTCGCTCTCTTCTACTGCAACAATACAGTAATACCGATGTTCGGATAGACTGTTGTCTTCACTTCCAAGTTGGCGAAGAAAATGAAATGTAAAACCTTCGCATGTGTGGACTGTTTGGAACTGAGATTATGTCTGTTGCATGCTCGATGCTGCAAAAGTATCAGTGAAGATGACATGGAATGCTGTGCGTTTTTGTTTTCTGAGAAACCCCCAACAGCATACTGCAGGGAAGCATATCTATGGCTTGTTTTGGAGTGACTGTAAGAAAAAAATGCAAAAAGTGCAATAATATAATTGAAGCCCAAATACTCATATTTAGTGCATGTGTGCTGCTAAGAAAAAAATTGGGTAACAAGCAGCTGCACTGCTACACTGGATCTGTTCTTCTATAAGAAAGAGAGACTTGTAATTCAGTATCTTACCTTCCACCTCTCCAAAACGGATGAAAGAAAGTCAGGATGGAGTTCCGAATGACTGGACTGGATCCTTCGAATGTTAGCTAGCTCCTACAGTCTCTGTATCAAAAAGATTAGTGGCTGTTCATGTTTCGTGTACCTTCTGGTCCCTAAATAAGATTGAGAACAATCTAACAAGACCGGTATTCTTCCCCTACTCACCAAGAACACATTGTCAACCTGTGTCTAGTACCTAATTGATGAATATTTGTATTTTGTAAATGCGACACAGTGTGAACCGTAGTGCGGATATTTGCTATAAGCTGCCTAGTCCACTTTATGAGTTGAGTGTCTGACTTTTCTTCCTCGTTTGAGTAAAAGTGCGAAAGTTTGTCCCTTAAAGACTCATGATTTGAAATGAAATCCTGACCGGATTCTTCATGAATGACGTCGAAACTGGAGACGAACCACTCTCATGTGGTCACTGTGGCCGGCTTTGTATAAGAATACAACATGTGTGCAGTTTACGATGCAGCCATTATGTGCTTTCTCCATCTAGAGACGTTCAAGAACCAGTATTGAGCCGGCTCATGACCATTTTACGATGAAAATAACACAGATACGATCTATGTCTGTTTCGAAGTATTTACACAACACACAACCATTAGTTGGAACTGGCAATTATAGTTACATCTTGAGCCTCACGCAGAAGTTGAGTTCTGCTCTGCTGTCCATGGGCATATGGGGTATCAGAAAATAAACTTTGGAATTCTGCAAAAGAAGCGTTCGAGAAGCGATGTCCCCCAGTTGCAAGAGCGCGTTAGCCAGATGTGATGCTGGTGATGATCCTCTCTCTCAGCGTGCAAAGAACTCTTGCCATTTCCCAGAAGCCGTTACTAAGTATGTTTCTATCTTGTGTTTTTGGAAAATACAAATCGTGGGTTTTAATGTTTGAGTTCCAAACTTGGAGATCAGAATGCATCTAGTTTCTGTTCGCAACTATGGTTCGGCCTCAAAAGCTGTGCTCTCTGAGCAAATCTCAAGCCACGAAAAAATCAAAAGGCTAAATAAAGTCTTCAGTGTGCAAACATCGCTAGGAAAGAAAGTATTCATTACCACTTCTCCTTTTACGCATTAGATTGAGTAGACTTTACGTATGGAACGGCCAATCCCCCTCCTCTAGTCCCGGCCATGATTAAGTCAAGTATAGATCAATCCTTATGACCATCTGGAGAACTGTGCCCCAGGCACTTATGTTGATCTCCGGCAGACACGACCTTAGTTGAATACCACTGGAACATATCTTGGCATGATGCATAAAGCCAACCCAACCTTCCTGAACTCTGACTGTACAAGTATTGTTCTTACCTAAAATGTTTGCGATCTTCAAAAGACTCAAAAAGGATTTTACTTTCTCTAATCAATCTAGAATCAACATCCTGGGGAACCGGAGAAAAGAGCGTCCCGATGAGCTATGTCTCTGCGCTTCGTCTGGAAAGAAAAATCAATGGTTTCACACAATGAGGCTACGCTGATTTATCTTTCTCCATAAGCAAGTCTTTTGTCCTAAAGGCAGTCATATTGCACTTGTCACTTCTTCTCCTTGTATACAATATGCTCGTGCGGCGATTTCCGAAGATGGCACAGAATACGAAAGGATGAGGAGTCCTCCAATCAGATAAGTCATGCTTAAATGTCTCCTCGCTTTTTTTTTGTCAACAGAAACGCTGAAAGGATAAATCAAATGACGTGTTTGAAGAGAAGTTTGAAGTAAACTTGTTTTCGCCTCTTCAAGGGTCCGCAAATATTCTTACAACAGACCTATGACTATCCCCCGTACTATCTATGTCACCATTGCCATCTCCGCATTGTTTCGAGCTTTGATGTACTCTGCAATTCCATGTTTCAAGTGCTCCAGCATTCCAATTATGCAGAGGAGCGGCGCACCAAACAGCAGGGACAACCGTAATAGATCTCCCCAGCCTGCTCCAAACTCCTCTACTTGATTTACCGCAGTCTTCTGTTGATGAGCATATGAGACGCCTAAACACGTGCTTACAAGCAGGGCTGTGAGCATAAAACCAATCACTACTTCCCGCATTCCTGTCCTCTTCTCGGGTGCTTGCACACATGCAGTCGCTCCCTCAAGAAGTACCAGTGATGTGAAGATTTAAAATTGGGTCCAAGGATGTGGATGTCTTTTCCCCGCCTTGGTCCCAGAGTTGATGCTCGTGGATGAGTACGAAATATGTGTTGAAGGGAGAGCATGTATGCTTATGATGGAAGACACAAAGAAAAAGCTGCCCAGAATGGATATATGAGAATTCATCGAGTCTTCAACCTTGCCTGCCACATCGTACAAAGTTGTTTCCAGAGCAAGATGCATATGTAAACACAACCGCTGTTCCTTGCCACTCCTCACTCAGAAAGTACTCCCCCGAGGTTCTCAAAAATTTTCGTGGAAGAGCTCTATGGGACTCTTCCAAACAGCACAACTAATTTTCCATGATTTTTGCGTGGTGCTGCTGTCACATAGACAAAGAGTAAAATCTGAACATGTAGACATTGTGATTCGGAAGGCCAAAAAAGGGAAGCAAGGATTCATGATACCTCTCCAGTCAGTTTTGCACGCTGCCAAAAAGGACCAACAGACTATCATGTTCTCCTCCGAAACCCCTTAGCTTCACTACATGTCCGCCCATCTGCCTCACACTCGTTCACATGCAAAATTCCCATCCAACACATCCAACACTACCTGCCTCCTCCCACAGCATCCCCAACCCACCAAACCTAAATCACGTACACGATCAAATAAGGATGCTAGAGATCACGAATGCCTCTCCTGTCACTTTCTTCCGCAAACCAAGAAAACCGCTCGACCGTGCAGCAAAATCTAACCTTTCAAACACGATGTCCCAGACCGCATAACTCCTTCCCACCAAGCACCAGGCCTTCACTCCACACACCAAAAACGCACAGCAGACATGGAAGAGCCTTGAGAACCATTTTTGAGTGGAAGATATTCTCTTTAGCCCCTGGCGCATGTGAACATCCCCCCACCCCAGGTTTAGTATGGGTGGGTGGTGCGGTGACCTGGCTTGGAGGCTGTGCAAATGTTGGATCGCTTGACTGTGTGAAGTAATCAGGCGGAGTGACAATGTTTTCTTGTGCAAAATGCGCGTGGCCGCATTACATAGGCATGTATGGATCATTCTTTCGCGGGTTGAACCAAGGTTCGTGGCCTTCTTCGCTGTCATCGTGCAAATAAGACACCGTCACATCAAAAGTCCAGGCCCAAATTGCCACTATCGTCAGTCCTAGCATCACCGAGGAGGGAGTAATCCAAAGACATCGCCGCGGTGTATAAAGCGTCAAACTCAGGCATAATACCCGGTATAGGGAGGGCTACATCTTGGATCGCGGGACTCTCACTCCTCACAGGCGTGTGCGTAGCCGTCTTCACAAAGAGTCGGGCTGAGCTAACCAACCAGCTGTAATCGCACATTTGCCACAACTCCTCTTCAGATACAGGTTCGAGTGGCGTCCTATCCAGTTTTATGGAGAGTAGCTCCTCTGCCAAACGAGAGCTGGGCGCGAACTCTCCCAAGACCTTACTCTACACAAAGTCAGCAGCCATCGCTTGGCAGAACTCGAATAATGAAGTAAAGGAAATCGAAAAAAACTAACCATTCGTCTGTAGGATTCCCATCGAACAGGCTTATGATCTAAGAAACTGCTACAAGATTTCAGGTGCGCGTTGGCTTCATGTTCTAGCATGTGCGTCGGGTGGACGGCATGAAGACGGAGGATCATTCCTGCCAAAACAGCTGCGTAGCCTAAGAAGCTAGGAAAGGTGTCGCGTCCATACTGTTGGAGAATCCGAAAAATATTTGCCATGCGAATCGCGTGATCCTTGCTCTTGTGAATAGCTGCGCGAAGGAAGCCGGTTGGCACATTCGCTTTGAAGGATTGGAGATGTTGGCGGAGGAGAAAAGGATGGTGGAGTAAGAGTTGGTTTACATGATATACAACATGGGAGTAAATGAAGTGGGCTGCTGACACTCCGTCTAGGTCGCCATGCGAGACAAAATGACGGTTCAAAATGTCCGCGAAATCGACATCGCAGGCATCAGAGTACGATTCGAAGGACAGTAGAATACCGCTGATGCGCGCAAATTCGCTTCTCGAGTCCCAAGGTAGACGAGTTTCTGGAGCACTATGCTTGAATGCCCATCTGGCGATTTGCCCAAGAGTAGATACCATGAAGATGGTTAGGGCGAAATGATCGCTCTTCTCCAAAGGAGCCATATCTGGAATTTCTTGAATGATAGCCAAGGTCGGAGGTTGTGGTCCGAATTCGTTCTGGAAGGAACATGGGTTCACTGGCAGTCTTACCGTGCAATCGACATCCAAGATGACCGGCGGTCTGTCCCTGCCACATGCCATCAACTTATCAAGTAGGTAAACGGACCAGAATGTATGGCGACGTTCTTCAGCCTCATGAGGCAATAGCCAAGAGTGAGGCTCTCTGCCGAGTTGCAACGTTTGGGCAAGTCGGATTGCCAGTCCCAATTTGACCCAAGCTACTCCGCTTCGCCCAGCTATTCTTACTGAGCAAGATGGATTTCACAAGTCGCAGATGAGACTTACTAACGTAGTCTATGATACCCAGCATGCTTGCCGCCTGGACGGTACTTATGCTGAGGCTGTGGTTATCAGAGAAGGACTGCTCCATGATGTCGGACCACGCCATGCGTGAATAGCAGTTCATCGCCTCCGCTTGGCGGCCAACGAACCTGGGGTCTTTAGAGAATCGTACAGCAGTAGCGGCAAATGCATAGATCAGATAAGATGGGAACGATTCTTGGTCAAGATTCTGTCGGAAAGTAGCTTCGTGGAAGTATGTGTACGGTTGCTGGTGGCAGTGTCGAAAGTAGATATCAGCCAGGGCTTGCAGGGTGCCACGATCGAGCAAGCATGCGAAGTCACTAGATTTGGGTAAGCCAAGTGATTTTTCAGAGCAGAATCAACAGACGCACTTGTCAATGCGACTGTCAGGACTCGCAGAATCCTGCTGTGAAGCAGACGTGCGTAGATGCTGATCTGCACTGTAGGTAGAACCTGAAATGAAGGCATTGTCGACACTTGCAGCGTCGAGCATGCTCAAACGTGACTCAAGGAGAGCAACCCGTGCAGCAAGGCGGTGATTCTCCTCTGGCAATGCGGCCCCTAGCTCTGGGTAGACATCGTCGGTGTAGCGACATGTCTGACCTAGACGAGCGCAGAACGCGCAGACGGGCCGTTCACCTGAACATCGGGTCTTTTTGCGTCTATTGTAAATTCTTGTCAGTCCATGTTATTTTTCATGTTTGGCCTGAGAAGGCCTGGCTACCTACCGACAATTGGCACAAGCCTGTCGCACACGCTTATGTTCGCGTTCGCGATCACGTTCCTCGGTCATGCCCAAGAATCAGTTTCCTTGTACTCGATTGACAAGGCGTGTGTAATAGCAGGTCCATGGAGAGGAGAGGAGAGGCATCATGTTGATCACGTGCACTTCATATCGCAAAAAGCTTGGGAAGCATGGAGTGTAGGCGCATATAATGCGCCAGTGTCTCGGAAAAGCGACAGTGGGGAAATGAACGGAACGGTGCGATGTGGGAGAAGAGAGGTGCCCAGACCAGAACCGGTTCACGCTAGCACGTGCCCGGATCGGCTCGAGGAAAAGCTCCAGCCACTCAAAGCCGCGGAGATGACGTGAATTTGGCGGGGGAGCCTGAGGGGGCCAGGAGGGGCAAAGAAGGCCAAGTCAGTCAAGTCGGCGAGCCAAGCGGCGGCCTCGGAGCTCAGACAAAGGCGGGCGTGCGACTTTCTTTATTATCCTAAACGTCAGTAGGTCCTTGGTTCAGGAGTTCGGCTCTGGAATGCGCTGTCCCACTTGCTTCACGATACACACGATGCTGCCTACCCTATAACACCAGCCCACAGTGCATACCTTTTGTGCCGTCCAAACTTTGACGACACTGACATTATCACTACCGCTACCACTGCCGCTACCACTACCACTACCACCACTACTGCTGCTGTTATTACTGCTACTACCACTAGGTACACACAACCGACAGCTCTTGCGGCTGACTAGCTTACACCAATACCTCGTCTTCCACCCAACCCCACGCTTGACATTTCCCATCTCTCTTGGCGCGCGCGTAACGGCGCAATCTTGATTCGCAACCTTGTTTTTACCTCTGAACATGGATACGCTGCAGGCGCCACCGACAGGAGCACCACCGAGAGACGGCCTGAAGCTGCGAAACAGGCTGAGTGAGAGTCGCAGTCCCTATGTCCGCGGTCACAGGAACAATCCAGTTGCATGGCAAGAATGGGGCCCAGAAGCTATAGAGCTGGCAAGGCAGTCCAACAGACTCATATTCATATCCATTGGCTATGCAGCCTGCCATTGGTGTCACGTCATGGAGCGCGAGTCGTTTGAGAACCAAGAAGTCGCAAAGATCCTCAACGAGAGCTACATCCCCATCAAGGTTGATCGCGAGGAGCGCCCCGATGTCGATCGCATATACATGAACTATGTCCAGGCTCTGACAGGGCGCGGAGGCTGGCCGCTCAATGCCTTCCTTACACCCGACCTACAACCCATATTCGGAGGCACCTATTTCGCTGGGCCAGGATCGACAACGGCTCTGGGCGCACAGCCATTCGTCGCAGTCTTGGAGAAGATCAGGGATCTTTGGACCGACCAACGGCAGAGATGTTTGGATTCTGCCCGAGAAGAGACCAAGAAGCTGATTGACTTTGCACAGGATGGCAACATCAGCAGACAGGGTGGTGCTGAGCACGATGGCCTTGAGCTCGAATTGCTGGACGATGCATTGAGTGTAGGTTTAGCTGATCCCTCCCGTCAACGCTTCCTACACGGTATACTGACAGCACGGCAGCACTTTAAGCGCAAGTATGACCCCGTCAACGCAGGCTTCGGGGATGCGCCCAAGTTTCCCACGCCCTCGAATCTCCAGTTTCTTCTCAAGCTGTCGCGATATCCGACCGCTGTCACTGAACTCCTTGGGGCCGACGACTGTACACTGGCGAAGACCATGGTGCTGAAGACACTGGACGCGATGAATAAAGGGGGTATACACGATCAGATTGGCAATGGGTTCGCCCGCTACTCAGTCACAAAGGACTGGAGTCTGCCGCACTTTGAAAAGATGCTCTATGATCATGCGCAGTTACTGCCTGTGTTTTTAGATGCCTACTTACTCACCAAGAGTGCCGCCCATCTCTCTGCCGTACATGACATTGCCACCTATCTCACCAGTCCACCCATGCACGCTGAACACGGGGGCTTCTTCTCTTCCGAGGATGCTGATTCGCTTTACCGACCCAACGACAAGGAAAAGCGCGAAGGCGCCTTCTACGTCTGGACCCTCACCGAATTCCAGGACATCTTAGGCGAACGTGATGCCGAAATCCTCGCCCGCTACTACAATGTCAGAGACGAAGGCAACGTGCACCCAGAGCACGATGCCCACGACGAACTCATCAACCAAAACGTTCTCGCTATCAGCACCACACCCTCTGACCTGGCCAAGCAGTTCGGCCTCTCCGAGGAAGAAGTCCACCGCATCCTCACCTCGGGTCGGCAAAAGCTCCTCTTCCATCGCGACAAAGAGCGCCCCCGTCCTGCCCTAGACGATAAAATCGTCGTGTCCTGGAACGGACTAGCCATTGGTGCCCTCGCGCGAACCGCCGCCGCGCTCTCTTCGTCAGAGCCTACGGCATCACACACCTACCTGGCCGCCGCCGAAAAAGCGGCTACCTTTCTGAAGGAAAATCTCTACGATCCCTCCTCTCAGACACTAACACGTGTGTATCGCGAAGGGCCCGGCGAAACGCCTGGCTTCGCAGACGACTACGCCTACCTCATCTCCGGACTCATCGACCTCTACCAAACGACGTTCAACGACAGCTATCTACAATGGGCCGATGACCTGCAACAATCGCAAATCCGCCTCTTCTGGGACACGAAGCACCTTGGCTTCTTCTCCACTCCTGCCGGCCAGTCGGATCTCATCATGCGGCTGAAAGACGGCATGGACAATGCCGAGCCAGGCACCAACGGGGTATCGGCCCAGAACCTCGATCGACTCGGAGCACTGCTGGAGGATGAGGCGTATAGTAAGCGGGCGAGGGAGACGGCGAGCGCGTTTGAAGCCGAGCTGATGCAGCATCCGTTTTTATTTCCGAGTTTGATGGATGCAGTTGTGGTGGGGAGATTGGGAATACGGCATAGTGTGATTACTGGGGAGGGGCGAAGGGTGGAGGCGTGGTTGCAGAGGTATCGGGAGAGGCCGAGTGGGCTCGGGACGGTTAGTCGGGTTGGCAAAGGGCTGGGGGAGTGGTTGAGGAGGAGGAACAAGATGGTGGGTTTGATGGATGTGGACAAGGAAGGTGTGATGGTTTGTGAGAGTGGGACGTGTAGAGAGGAAGTAGGCGGGGCCATGGATGTGAAGAGTTTGGAAGGTGCGTTGCCAAGGGTGTAAGCTGTTGATGAGGGAGAGCGGGGGTGTGAGTGCCATGTGGAGTGCCACATAAGGAGTGCCATCTATAAGGTAATCTAAAAGCAATCCATATCCATATATATATATATACATATATTCTCGTTATCATGATATTGATTTCAAGCAATGGCAAAGGTGTACGACTATGTAGCCATGGACGTACTGTTTGGGGGGTTAAGTGCAACTAGACTAGATACTCGTTGACTAACGTGATCCACCACCGAGCGCCCACCCCCACTGAGCGCCCACTAACACCAAAATCACTAAATTTTCAACACCAAATTTCTTAATAACTATAGCACCTATTAATAACGCGCTTGCAGCAATTAAATCCTTAACTCTTAGAGAAGATTTTACATACTTAGAAATAGTAGAAAAGTATAGTTACTTATAGTTAACCTTATCTAGACGCTACTAGAAAATTTAGTAGGCACGTACTACTACTCTACTAAATAGTTAAATACTTAATACTATATAAGAAAGTAAGCTTATAAAGTATATTAAAGAGCTTTATAAGTAAGGATTACCCCCTATATAGACTATTATTTAAAATTTTATAACTAAAATAATAAGGAATCTAGTAGGTAAAAATTAGGTATAGCACTTTATTAACTGCTATAATATTAATCTTATCTCCTATTAGGCTACTAGGCTTAATTATAACTACTTTAAAGCTAATTCTACCTTTAAGTATAGCTTATACTTTAAGCTTTTATACTAAAAAATAGAGTAATATAATATTAAGAGTTAGTATATCTATAATATAGATAAGAAGGGTTTTCTTATTAGAGTACTATTAAAAACTAAACGTATATTTAATAAGAGCGCCTATAAGTAAAGAAAGATTAGAGCTATACTCTAGGATAGTAATAGGGAGTAGATTACTACTATAGCTTATATATACGCTAATAGTACTGCTCTTACCTTTACCCTTATTTATTAGTCCTAATCTAGAGCTTTATAGGATACCTAGTTATAAGATTTTAACCTATTATAACACTAAGCTTTCTTTATAGGATTACTAAGTAGGTAGACAAGCTATACCCTAGGGGTATCCTAGCTTAAGGAGGTGTTTAATTGCAAGACAAAAGCTAAAGCTTATACTTTATACTAGCTTCTTATCCTTAATAGCTATAGATCTTATATAATAATAGAGTTTATTAAGTACTATAATAAATATAAGATCCTACTTATAATATATCCCCCTTATAGTACTTATACCCTTTAGCTACTTAATATTATAGTATTTGCTCCCTTTATAGCTTTATATAAAGCTTAACTATCTAGTTTTCTAGATAGCTCCTAAGGGCTTACAAGTATTACTAAGAGGGATTTCTACTAGTTATTTAATACTATATAGAGTAATACCTTTAAGGAAAAGCTAATATTAATAGCTTTTAAAGTAATAGGTATCTTACTACTTAACCCTAATATTATCCTTTTAAGGTTTAAAGTACCTATAAATAATAGTAACTAGCCTTCTTTAAGTAATAGTATAACCTTAATATTAAGTGTAAGTAATTAGAGAAAGATAGAGTAGTTACTCTATAATACTATAATTAATATCTATAATAAATAGTTAAAGAAGCTTAGCTAGATAATCTATACTATATTAGTAAGAAATACTCTACTTAACTATAAAAATAAACACCTAAGGGCTACCCTAGCTAATAAGAAGAAGCGTAGGAAGTGTAGTAAACCTCTATTATTACCCTCTAATAATAATTATAGTAGTAGTACCTAATTTATTTTACTATTAAAGGTAGAGTAAGTATTTAAGCTCTAGAAGTAAAAGAACCTTAAAGAATAAGAGCTATAACACTAAAAAAGCAAGGTAATTAAGCTTTATAAGTAATAGAAGCTTGCTAAAGCTTAACTTATAGAGGAGTGTTACCTAAATTAAGTAATTACTAAGAAGGAGCAGGAGGAGAAAGCTACTTAAAAAGCTACTATATATAATAAGCAGAAAACTACTAAGTAACTAGAAAAGTAACTCTAAAATAATATTAAAACGTCCTAAATAGGTAAGAGGTAAATCCTTAAGCCTCCTACTATTATACTAGCTAAGGTGGTTAATAAGGAGCTAGTAGAAGAGGATATAGTAGTAGAGGCAACTTTACAGCGTAGGCGCCTAATTAGACCCCCTAAAAAGCTGCTTATATAATCTAAAATATTTAATCTACTCTAATAGATCTAATAATCGCGACTCTAAGAAATCTCGTGATAATAGCTATTATAGGTGGCGCAATATCCTCATTTAGTGGGTGGTGGATTTTGGTGTTAGTGGGCGCTCGGTGGGGGTGGGCGCTCGGTGGTGGATCACGTTATTGTTCCCAAAAGGGGATAGGGCCAGTAGGTAGTACCTGTACATGTACCTAGCAAAGCTATCTACTGATTTGCATCCAACCGAAAGCGCTTTACTGCACGTGGTATAGATGTGGCTGAGCTTGAGTTGACTGAAGGGAAGTGAGCAAAGAGGGTAGAATCAAGTGCAGGAATGAAACCGGGTTGTCAGGGTGAAAGAGGGGAGTTGGAGTGGGGAAGGAATGCAGCATTCAAGAAGGATGGAATGTGTGTGTATGTGTACTTTGTGAGCTACGGTACCTAGGATGATGTCAGGAGAAGTGCAGACAGGGTGGTGGCCGTGGTTACACGCAAACGAGAAGGGTAGGTACGTAGCGGGGTACCGGTACTATAGGTATCAGTAGAGAAGCAACACATGAGGAGATTTGCATCACGACAAGACAAGTCGCCTGGAAGAGGAGAAGCTTTGGCTGGGCAGCGATTTGATTTTAAAGTACATTGTATATGGATGGGGACTTTGTGGTCACAGTGTGATGACGCCGTAGCCAACCATGTACCCTGCGCCCACCTACTCTGAACCGGCCTATTTCCAGCAGAATCACCATGTTCCCCTGCCAAGCCCCGCCTTCCCTCCAAGCTGTCCACCGTCCCTGCATTGCTCACACCTGGCTGGCTTGTTTCCGCCAAGGTACGGTACGGGAGTGCAACGGCCCATGATGACTGCTGATTGGCTCGCAGCTACAGCGGTACCGGTAAACAAACAGCTCCACTGGTGTGTCAACTGCATGTGGTCGGCACTTTACGATACTAGACTGGTGACTAGTGACTAGTGACTAGGTACCGGTACCGGTACCTGACCTGACCGACCTGCCCTGGCCTGACCTGACTGCCAACAACAACAATTGCTGTCATGGGAGAGCAAGTGGATTGTGCTCGTACCGGTATGGGGTGATAACAAATGAGCAACACAACAACCATGTGTTTGTCTGTGTCGTACCCTCATTCACCAAGGCGTCAAAAGACCATGCCTACGTCCCACACTTGTGCACCACGAGGCCTACACGAGTCCTGAAAACCCCGATGCCCCCCCCCCCAACCGGTAAACGAGGCGTGGACCTTTGTTCCAAAGGAAACTATGGATTCCAAAACCCCT